AGAGCGGGTGCATTGGCCGCCTGGCCACTGGCACTGCACTGGGAGGGGATGGTGCTGGCTGGGAGGAGTACGGACGGCCTCTGTTCCCATCCTTGCTGACTGCTGGTCTTGGCTTTGTTTGGCGAAGCTGCTCCTTATCGCTGTGTCACAGGCGTGCTTGGCAGCTGGCCGACCCAGCCAGCGCCCAGGCGGTGAGCTCCTGCCCTGGCTGCTTTCGCTCTATGGTGGCTCACGCTGAGCGCAGGCAAGGACTCTGGCTCTTCTGCATCTTGGAGCATCCCTGCAGGTGTGGAGCAAAATCGGATGGATAGGAAGGAGGGAGGCCAAAAGCCCTGGAAAAATGACCAGTGACTCTTGGCAGCTACAAAGGTCCCAGAGGTCTCCTAGGATGGACAAAGGACTGGCTTAGATGCTCCTAGCCTCGGTCTGCAGCTGGAGGGTCTGGGGCACTTCTGTCCCATCCCTCCAGCTTGGCCACACATCTCCTTGTGGGGTTTTTCCATGCTGGGGCCAAGTTATCCTGGGCATCTCTTTCAAACCTCCTTGCCAGGGATGATGGTCCCAGCGTGCGGTGTTGCACTCCTTCCTGAGCTGCCTCATCCCCCTGGCCAACCTGCTGGTGATTGTGGTCATCTACCAGCTGATGAGGAAGCAGCCAGGCACCAGCCAGGTCTACGTCCTCAACCTGGCCACCGCTGCCCTGTTAGTGGGTGTGATGTGCATCACTGAGGTTCTGGACGACATCCTTGACAGGGATTTTGACTGCAACAAGTCCTTCTGCCTCCTGCGCATTGCCGTGAGCATGGTGCCTTGCATCGGCTCCATCCTGACCCTGCTCCTGATCTCCCTGGACGGTTACCTGGCAGTGACGCTGCCGCTCCCCTACCCCACCCTCCTGAAGAAAAAGCCCATGGTCCTCTCCCTTGTTCTCTGGATTCCGTCCTTCCTTTTTGGGCATTGCCTCTGATCTTGCCCTCCCTCCAGCGAGGCATCTACACGGGTTACTGCGGGCTCCTGTACGCAGCCAAGAGAGAGCACCTCTGCGTGGTTTGCTTCAGCATCTTTGCTCTGTCCCTGCTGGTGCTGGTGTGCCTGCATGTCTCGGTGGGCAGCGTCGCCTGTGTGCAGCACATGTGGCTCCGCCATGCCTGCGCCCCGGCTGGGCCCCTCTGCGCCCACCTGTGCCACTTCAAGGCGCTGCAGACATGTTCATCGTCCTTGTTGGCTTCAGCCTCTCCTGGAGCCCCTACCTGGTGGGGGGCACTGTGCAGGCCGCCTGCAGCTCCTGCACCCTGGCCAGCCTGCTCAAGGACACCTTACTCCTCCTGGGTGAGACCAACTCCCTCATCAACCCTCTCATCTACACCCTGTACAGCAAAGACATCCAGAGCTACCTCGCAAAGCTGCTCAGGTGCAGGGTGAAGGGCCAGGCAAAGCCCCTGGCCTCGAATGTCTGAACCATTGTGAGCTGGGGCGGGGGCCGGCCCAAGGCACCTGGTTCATGAGGGGTCCGTGACCCACCACTTCTGCCCATGCTGCTCCCACGGCCACCAGGCCCGTGGCGGGAGGGAAACACAGGGCACCTGGTGCAGCAGAGCCTTCCCCTGCATCAGCCATTCATGAGCTGCTGCTAAGAGGCTGCGGCTCATCCATGCTGTCTGCTGTCTGCCTTAACGCCCTTCTGTCTCCAGCATCTGCACAAACATCACCAAGACAGTGACCTTTGATTGCTTTGGACAAACTGTGGGGTTTTATCCCTCTCTCTGCATGGGGAACCACTGTGTCTCGTACCTGCAGCAGGCTGAGCTGCCATCCAGTGCTCGTGCCAGGGAAGTCTGGGCATCCTGCTGGTGCTATGTCCTTGGCAGAAGCGCTGGCTGTGCAGGGAGGTGCCTGTGCAGGTGACTTCTGAGCAAGCACCTCCTCCCCATATACCTGTCACAGGCTATGACTTAGCTGTGCTCTGTTTGCTTTTATCTTTGTGCCGCATCTACAGGCTGGAACGACAGGTCAGCCTGGGCTGGTTTCTGCCAGGAGACAGAAGAGAGGTTGCTCAGGAGCAGTGCACCAATGTCAAGCACGGATTTACTCTGCCCTGAGCAAAGCCCCTCTGCGTGCCTCCAGGGCCACGATGCACTTCAGTGTGGGCTGACAAGAAAATGAGTTCTGGTACTCCCTGCCCCACAGCCCTGCTGTGGGGTGGGATGGCCCCAGGAGAGGGGCCGTGCAAAATGGCCATGGGCTACCCTTTGCTCCGCGCCATGGCAGGCAGGGCTGCAGGCAAAACCTTGCCAAGTGTGTGCAGCCCTTGCAGCAGCTTGGAGCATCTCCCTCGTCTCATTTTGCCTTCACACTGCACACAGGCTGGTCAGACTTGAGCATTTACTATCGCTCTGACCGAGCTGCGTAGCTCATCACTTATGTCAGAAGTTGTGCAAAGCTGTAAGATCTTTAAAGTCTGTGTGATAAGGTACGCTGGAGGCTTGATTTTGTCCCATTGCTCATTAGAAGGAAAGTTTAAGCATCCACGTAGTTTGTCGAAGAGCCGCAGGATCCTCACCCTGAAGGCAAGCAGCAGGAGCTCATCTTCACCCAGCCAGGTGCGGGGAGGCAGCCGGCCAATGTCGCTGACCTGGGAAGTGGAGGCAAACGGTGTCAGCAGAGCCACAGCAGTGTGGGACAGGGCTTCAGGGCTTTGGTCTCTCCCCAGCAGACAAACCTGCCCCTGTGGCAGGAGCCCGTGGGGGAAGGGAGCTGCCACACACCCTGCCCACATGGGTCGCGGCTCTCCTCCCCACAGCAGAGCCTGGGTGATGCTTGGGGCTATGGCCATGGAAACTGGGGACCTGCCTGGGAGCACTTCCCACACTCTCCAGCCCCTTGGAGAGAGCCCAGGCTGCTGGAGCTAGTGAGCCCCCCGGCTTTGTGGGGACCAAGCACAGGTACACCTCCACTGTTTGCTGTTTTGGGGGGCAGGGTCATGGGGCAACATGGGGAGCACCCACAGTGGGATGAGCGCTCTTCCTTGCAGACAGGAGCTTTCCCGGCTGCTCTGCTCCTGCTGTGGGGAGCAGCTTTGTGGGGAGCTTCCTGTGCACTTGAGAATTACCTGCACTTTGGTTCCCACTTTGAATTTTGCTTGTTGCCCCATAGCGAGGAAGGAAACGGTGATCTTGTCCTGGCCCAGGATCCTGACCCCCACATGCTGATTCAGGGAGATGAAGATGGGTCTCAGTGGGACGTGTGGTCCTGATGACATGATGCTGTTTGGCCATGTCCACCTTCTCACGCTGCTCCCCTCTTGGTCCAAATACTGCCCTCCCCAAATATTCATGATTATCCTAAAAGAGAGGAAAATCAAAGCTCTGCACCCTGCAGCTCCCATGTCCGATGTCCCTCGTTCCCCAGAGGGACGGAACTGAGGCACAGCTAGTTTGGGATCTAACCCCCTCATCTCAGGACACAGCTGGGGTAGCTGTACTCTGCTGGGAGGTACCCAAAGCAGGGCCCATGAGCTGCTATTAAATTTTTGAATGCTATTAAAAATACCCTTTATGACCTTTGGAATTTAAAATGCGCAGTGGAGAGCAAAACTGCTCTGATCAACGTGAACGTACCACACAGCTCCGTTTGGATAATAGCAAGTACTTCTGCCATTGGACTTAAATACTGCTTGTATTTTGGCGTTACTCGGCTTGTCTTCCTGTACTATGCAAATAAGCTGGTTTTTCTCTCGTACAACAATGATTGCCAGATTTCCAGATGGATAGCTGTCGTCAGATAAGGTGTTCATAACCCCTTTGCTTGTCTACTTGGTCTATTATTACATACTAAATATTTCAGAGCGCTACTATGGAGTATAAAAATTGACGTATTACCTAGAGCGCTGTGTTAAAGGCGGAATGGTGGTGTGCTGCCAGCATTACCTGGGATGCTGCCAGTGCTTTTCTCCTACATTGAAGTTTTCTGTATATGACTGACAGAAGAGCAGTTAGAGATACAGAATATAGTTTTGCTGTTTTATAATCAATAACCCAGGCAGAACCGCTTAGCAAATTTATGTTAAAGACACATTCTTGGACAACACAACTGTAGAAGCCTAGCAAAGTGAAGTGATCAAATTACTCAACTTGGGTGACAGCACAGAAAACAGGGGCAGGTATTCTCCTAGAGAAAAAAAACCAAACAACCAGGGGGAAAAAAGGCCCTTGCCCCTGAAACCTGGCTTGAACATATCCAAACAGCAGGTATTTTGTGTCTCACTAGGGTTTCCCTCCAGCAAGACTTGCTACAGTGAGCGCACGTGTTCACAGCACTTTGCCATTTGCTACTGCCACAACTGGCAGCACCCCTGGGACGAAGGCAGCCCGGAGGGCAGAGCAGAGAAGTAGTCTCAAGCCCCTGTTTGCTTTGGTGGTAGAGCTCAGGTACACTTTCATACACCCCTGGGTCAGAAAGAAGTCAGCCACAGTAAGGGAAAACAATGTGGGTGACTTAAAATATTATGGCTTACATAACAGCAAAGGCAGCCTGAAAGCTACGGGGTCCTTTGGTGAAACTGCCACGTTTTTGTTTCTTCGAACAGTACTTAGTTACACTGGTAATTTCAGTTTGTCTGTGCACCTCTTATGTGCTCCTGCCCACAGGACAGAGACATCAGTGCTGTGCTGGTGGGAAACGCTGGGCTTGTTTGTCCCTGGGGGAAGGATGGGGCTGAGCACTTTCAGACCCCACGCTGCAGGGACCCCTCGGCCAGCAGCACCTTTCCGTGGGTGGCCAGAGCTCGGGAGCGGGTCTGAACACTGGGCCAGCACTCTTCTTAAGCTGGGTATTAAAGACGCAAGTGCTCATCCTTCACCGAAACTGAAAAACTTCAAACCAACAGCTATGTAAGCAGTTTCACTACTGCTTTTTTTCAGACTGTGGAAGTGAGTGTGAGCAGTGGACCTGGTTATTCTGTGATAAAGCAGACTAGGACACACTAAAAATTACAGTTACAGTCCTGGGTTAATGCAGGCAAATAAACCCTGTAAAGGATACAATAGCTGTGCTGTTCCATCTGGAAACATGGTAAGGAATTTCCCTCCATGTTTGTAGTATTTTTCCAACAATTCGTTCTTCACTACCTAAGATTGGAAAAGAAGGAATGAAATGGATGAGCACAACTGCGCCTTAAAGACAGGCAGGTGCTGGGCTCCAGCTGCCCTGGGGTGTGGGCACAGCTGAGGCGCAGCCGTTGCTATCAGGCAGCAGCTACTTGCCTTTCCACCCACAGGGGTGAAATCGCAGCAGGTGATGCTGTAGGAGATGGGCTCCTCCTCGGGCTTTGCTGCTCTCTCACCAGGCACCAGCGTCCAGCCCCTTGGCGATGGGGGCTCCCGAGAAAGCAGGTAGGAAATTGTGCCAGTTTGATCTGAACCTAGAGAGCAGAGGGAGGGTCTGTGTGCATGCGGTAGGGCTGGCAGTGCCGATGCTGGGGCTGCTTGGCACCTCTGCAGGGAGGCTGTAACTTGGGGGAGTGGGAATTTCTGGCTGAAATGCTCCATCTTGGGAGTCTGTCTCAGGCTGTTTTCTATCTAACAAGTAGAGTCCAAAATGTGCAGCTATTTCAGAGAACAGGATTATGACAAAGGATGTAGTTTTTTTGATTATGTGTATATATATATGCAACTGCATGAGTAAAGATTGACTTTTTTTGGATAGCATTCATGGCTCCATGCTCTGGAGTACTGATGATCTGAATTCCTTGGTGCCGCAGAAGCCTTGGTGCCCTGCCATCCTCTGTGAAAATATGCCCATGTTGTAAATCTAGTTCATCTGTTCTCAGTCAAAATGCCTTTGATTTTATAGTTAGATCCAAAGGGCTGCTCAGTCATCCTCAGCCTGGGCTAGGAATCAGTGGAGTATTCACCTGATCAGGCAAAACATTGACTGCCCTAATTCTGGCAGTTCCTACCTTCCAAGGGCTTGGCTTTGCCAACTTATTATTCTCTAAGGTAAATTTCTGTGCATCTCAGCTGAAATGTTCAGATATAAATATTGAAAGTCACAGCAAGGAAATATTCTCTGTGCAATGGGAATGTAAATGCTTTTGTTTTTTCATGTGAGGGATTATTTAATATGGCGGTATCTAATTTAATGGGATTACACACTTGACAATAAACTAACATGTCGCTGTATAAATCCTTCTGTTCAATTAGAAAGCATTAGAGACAAGCAATTCCATTGAATTAATTGTTGTAATAAATAGATAAATACATACATAAAGAAATGCAAACTCACATTCAGCTACACTCGTTGGCTCTGCTGCCAGGAAAGCTAACTGTCTGGCCATTTGTCTCTCCTGCTGCCTGGAAAATGAAAGCATTCCTGAGATACACCTCATATATCCTGGGTTGAAAGCTGGAAATACTGGATAGCCTTGCTGTAGGAACACCAGTTTCTGAACCTGTTTTTCTCTCCACTCACATAATTGCAAGGAAGAGTTAGAGGCACCAGAATATCACCAAAATAATATCTCAGCAAAAAGGAATTGCTCCCATACAGAGATTTCGGTGAACAGACTCTGTAATTGCAGTGGCATCATCTCTACTGACAGCAGAGCTAAACGTTGTAATGGATTTTGTATCAAGATTTTATGTAAAAGAGAAGGAGAGCTGCCCACAAGATCAAGAAAACAGCTGATCTCCGAGAATATTTTCACTGTTCTTATCTAGCTTCCTATAAATTTGACAGTGTCTGACAATGGCCTTGGTTTATGCTCTGTACATAATATGAGCTACTTGCACGATCAGACTGCAAAGGCTCTTCAAGGAAACTAATGGTTTACTTCCAGGTATGCTGATTTACTTTTCTTTAAGCCTATGCCATAGGTTTAGATATTTGTATAAGCTTTGGGCCTCCTGCTAAACAGCCCAGCAGAAGTCAAACTTGCGGAGTTCGCATGGCTGGAAATTGGAATTCAAATGCCTGTCATAGCTTATGCAGCAAAACAGAGAAATGCAAATTCAAGCTTTGTTTCAGCACCTGAGGTAAAAGCTAGTCCCAAATATTATCCTTCCCACAGCTGCACTTATGGTTTTGGCTCTACCTGTCTCCAGGTATTATGTCTGTCAGCCGTAGAATTAATGCTTTACTTAGCACATACCTCACCACCTTCTAATACAGCCTGATAAGAGAAAAGCCAAGAGGGTCCTGAGAGAATATGAACTTGTGTTGCCTAAAGCACATTTTTTTTTCTTCTTTCATTCCCTCTTGCTTGCAGTTTCATTTTCTTAATCCTCCTTTTCCCTCCAGAGTCGCCTGTTTTGCCTGTTGTTCCTTATACAGACCTGATCCCCAGTTTTCCCTGTAGTCATTTCATGGTACCTCTGGTACGCTCTCTCCTTTGACAGCCGCCTGTCAGCTTCCGTGCCGTGGGATTCATGGGGGCCGACAGCGATGGGAACGCTCCGGGTGCTTTCGTGCTTCTCCCTCTCATTTACGATGAACTCGTAGAGGTCTCGATTTCTCTCACAGCAGAATTTCTGAAAGGCAGAAGAGCAGTGCCACAAGAGCAGGCCATTCCACAGCAAACCTCTGCTAATCTTTCCCACCAGCTTACTGATCCATAATCCTGTGATGGTGGGCAAGTGTCTTCGAAGGAAGGGAACGGCTTCAGCAGGCTGCCACAGTACTCGCACCTTGGAGCACAGTCCTCCTCTGTCTGAAGTGGAGGTGGGGAGAGAGGACAGAAATAGGGTATCAGCATGCAAATCCTCATTTTATCATGGGGAAAGAGGGCTCTGCTCAAAATGCAGTGTTAAAGTGTGTAAGAGCTGTTAAAACAGACCTGTGTCTGTGATATCTTGGAAGGATTTAACCCAAAACATTAGGTTCAGGAAACCATCAAAAAGAAAAGCCAATCTGTAGTAAATAAATAAATAAAAAACCTCAAAGAAATGGAATGACTGTAGTATTTATGAGACCCATTCCTTCCAAGGGAAAGCTTCAGAGCATGCAGAACGCTATAGTTGAGTCCTCGCATTAACATTTTCAAATACATTGCTTGGGGCTTTGGAGAGAAAAAGCGCCCTGAACATGACACTGTTGATCATAGGAAAATCTGGGGGGAATTTCATGAAGAACCCCCAGCAGATCTGTTGACAGAAGAGCTGAACATATTTGACCAGATGCAGATCAGGTCTGCTGCAGGATATATTCTGAGGATGGGTACTAGATATTATGAAAGAAATATCTATCTTTCGAAAACACATTTTGAAACTGAGTTGTAGAAGATGCAACTGCCAAGAGCATGCTGCTGAATTTCATGTCTAATGTCTCCACTCGCAAGGGCAGCACACCTTGCTCGGCATTCCCTGAAGAGACAGCAGCCATCTAGCTGCTACAGCACGGGGTGAAGGGTACTTGCTCTGGGCTGCTTAGCTGGTGCGCTTCACTTACACTTCATTTACTATACTACATGTTTAGCACTTTATTCAAATCCTTTTCTGAACATGTTAATTTGAAATACTTGGCTTCTCTGGAGAGTAGTTCCTGGGAATTCCCTTGCTCCCCACTTCACGCCTAGGATTAATTCTCTCTGATGACTTTACACTACTAAGGGTTATGGGGAACTCTATGCCCTGATTGTATTCTTTGACTTTTCTTTATGGAACAGATCATCTTGAGTGCCATGACATGGCACGTACAGGACAACCAGGTGGTCGAGCCCAGTCAGCTTGGGTTTATGAAAGGCAGGTCCTGCTTGACCAACCTTCTGTGACAAGGCGACCCACTCAGTTGATGAGAAAAAGGCTGTGGATATTTTCTGCCTGGACTTTAGTAAAGCCTTTGACACCATTTCTCACAGCATTCTCCTGGAGAAGCTGGCTGCTCATGGCTTGGACGGGCCTATGCTTTGCTGGGTAAAAAAACTGGCTGGATGGCCAGGCCCAAAGAGTTGTGGTGAATGGAGTTAAATCCAGTTGGCGGCTGGTCATGAGTGGTGTTCCCCAGGTCTCAGTACTGGGGTCAGTTCTGTTTAGTATCTTTATTGATGATCTGGATGAGGGGATCGAGTGCACCCTCAGTAAGTTTGCAGATGACATCAAGTTGGGCAGGAGCATTGATCTGCTCGAGGGTAGGAATGCTCTGCATTGGGGATCTGGACAGGCTGGATGGATGGGCCAAGCCAATTATGTGATGTTCAACACAGCTCAGTGCTGGGTCCTGCACTTGGGTCACAACAACCCCATGCAACGCTACAGGCTTGGGGAAGAACGGCTGGCAAGCTGCCTGGTGGAAAAGGACCTGGGGGTGTTGGTTGACAGCCAACTGAATATGAGCCAGCAGTGTGCCCAGGTGGCCAAGAAGGCCAACAGCATCAGGAATAGTGTGGCCAGCAGGAGTAGGGAAGTGATCGTCCCCCCTGTACTTGGAACTGGTGAGGCTGCACCTCTAATACTGTGTTCAGTTTTGGGCCCGTCATTCTAGCACCTCAATGTCATTCTTGTAGTGTGCGCAGAGAAGGGCAATGAAGTTGGTGAGGGGTCTGGAGCACAAGTTTTATGAGGAGCAATTGAGGGAACTGGGGTTGTTTAGCCTGGAGAAAAGGAGGCTGAGGGGAGGACGTTATCACTTTCTGCAACTGCCTGAAGGGAGGTTGTAGTGAGGTGGGTGATGGTCTCTTCTCCCAAGTAACAAGTTATAGGACGAGGGGAAATGGCCTCAAGATGTGCCAGGGCAGGTTTAGGTTGGACATTGGGAAAAATTTCTGCACTGAAAGCATTGTCAAGCACTGGAATGGCCTGCCCAGGGAAGTGGTTGAGTTCCCGTCCCTGGAGGTATTTAAAAGACAGGTAAATGTGGTGCTTAGGGACATGGTTTAGTGGTGGACTTGGTAGTGTTAGGTTTATGGTTGGACTTGATGATCTTAAAGGTCTTTTCCAACCTAAACAGTTCTATGATTGTATGACTGTTTACCTAGTATTTATATAAATTTTGTGTATCTGTTTCAGCCAAAGGGCAAAATCTTCTGCTAGGAAATTCTCAACATAGGACGCAGCAGTGGGGAGAGGAGTTGCACAGCCTCTTGCTGTTTAGGTGTGCACAACAAGCATTGTTTCAACAGCCTCACAAAAGAAAAACCCTTTCATAAAGGAATTCCTGCACTGGCTTGGCGAAGGGCATTATTTTTATTTTTCTTACATGGGAATCGTAGGCATTAAAATAAACAAAAAAAAAAAAAGCCACATCGTAGGGAACACCCACCACTGACTCACCTCAATGTATATGTTTTCTCGTGACGATTCAGGTCTGTAGGCCAGAAGGGCAGGCAGGCCAATGGAGGGGAGCGTGAGCAGAGATTTCTTGAACAGCTTCACAAAGTCTTCTTTGAACTCAAAGTGGAAAATACCAAAGCAATGTGGAGTCATATCTTTGTTCAGGGGTAAAACCATTAGGCATAAAATGTATATATGCAAACTGGGTGAGTCCTTACCTCCACGTCACACAAAACAGTTAAACTGCTGAACTCTTCCGACAGGGCTGCAAATAATAGCGATAATGAGAATTACTGAACAGCAGTGCTATGTTCTCAGAAAGTTTATCTTCTAGACACATTTGTTTTGGTCCTTTGTCAGCATGACAGCATTTTCTCAGCAACCACATTGGCTGCCCAAGACCTTCTCGCTAGACTTGGTCCTACACTTTCAGAAGGGCGGCCCTGGATCTGCATTTAACCCTTCCCAAATGCCTGAGGGACTTGAACTGGGCACTGACATTGGATCAGGGCTTTACAAAATCAGACCACTGAAGTCATGGAGACAGCTTATTGCTTAGGGTCAGTGACTTGTAGCACTAATCTAATATTGCATTATCCTCTAAAGCATTTCCGGCCTCTCTTGTCCTAAGAAGAAAGAGCTGTAGAGATGATTGAAGTTTTTTTCTCATTTCCAAGTGCAGTCCATGCTGCGTGAGTGCAACAAAGGGTTTTCTGGCCTTCAGGGCGACAGGAAACATCTCAGGTGACCGGGTGTCTATCACTGTCCTCAGCAGTCCCAGGTTCCCTCTTGGTGGGCAGCGCTACAGCCTGTCAGGTGCACAACTGTATGCTGTTCCATATACATCACCTCCTGTTTGAATAGCGACATGGCCAGCATGCCAGCTGTCATAGCCTCCCCTTCAAGCACACTAAACACATTCCTCGTTCTTTTAATCTTGAATTTCAGTTCCCCTTGGTGCCACACAATTTGTCTCGCCCTTCTAAGTAAGCTTGTCCTGCTTTCCAGAAAATACTCAGCCAGATGAAACCCCTGGCAGGCTGAAATGCCAAATCCTTTCTAAGTCTTCCTCTTTGGAAAGTATGAAAAAATCAGACTGTGTATTTAAAAAGGATGGGGTAAAAATCGTGACAGCCCCAGGTCAACACCTGGCTCCCAGGTCTGCAATGGGAACCACAGCTTGGGATTGCCTCTGGAAGTGAATGCACTGGCACAGGAGGAAAACCAGAAAGCGATGCTATGGGATTCGCTTATACATTCAGAAGGCTGAATTATGTGGCTGCTGGTTTCATTGAACTTTGCTTTTTTAAAATTGCAGTTCAAAGATGTGTAGTTATCACCCTCTGCAATCAAGCTGTGTCACAGAGAACTGATCATAAACCCCACCTAAGAAGTGACCTCAGGGAGTGCAAAGCGCACCAGTGGAGCTGCGCAGCCAAGGGATGTAGGGAAGCCTGGTACCTGGGGCGCAGTGCTCAGGGCAGGTGGACGCTCCACGCTCTTACTCTGCCCTCTCTAATGAGCTCTGCAGCTTCTGTATCATCTCTATCTACCACTTCTGCATCCAAACCCAGGTAGATGATTTACTGCTGGCACAAGTTTGGTTATTCTGTACTTTGATCGTTACGGTGACAGTCATCCCAAGGACTTGTGAAGCTCCACCTAAAGAACAAAGCCTACAGTGTTTTTTTCCTGCAAACACATTCACAGTGTATTTCCAAACAAACAAAAAGACCACTGTTTTTCTGTCGGGGGCTGTGCATGGCCCCTTTCTATTGGGATGGATCTGCATGCAGCTTTCCCCAGTACTTTGAGCTGGTGCACTGTGTTTTGTGGCCCAGATCACTCCTCCTGCTCTGAGAGGCACGTGAGAGGTGGGAGATGTTCTCTTACAGAGGAAGGCTGCCTGGCATTGAAGATGAAGCGCAAAGGCTGTTCAATGTGGTGTCCAAAAGGGATGGGACCAGGCAGCAACTACGACTGATACGCTGTGTGCTAAGGTACAGTGCTGTACTTCAGCGGGCAAGCAAAGGAGCGGGTTACTTGGTCACGCGCCAGGATGACTCAGCTGAGCAGGAGGAGAAAAGAGGTTGATATATTTTCAGCTCTCCTTAGAGGCTTTGCCAGTACCTCTCACAGGAATACAATACGCTATTTCTGCCATCTGCTGAGCACTCCTATGCCTGCTGGCTGGCAGAATGTTCCTGCACGCTTAACAGGAACGCAGAGGTTCGTTTAGAAGCAGCTCTGCAGAGAGGTTAACGAGGGGACCACAGAGGGGGATTCCTGGGGGCTGCTCCTGGGTCTGCTGCCAGTTTGCAAAGGCATTTCTGGGAAATTGCAAACTCATGTTTCTTCTACGAAAGAAGACACTGGGGTACGAGGCGGCCAGAGTGAAAGACAATACAAGTGAGCAACCTCTTTCGTGAACAAAGCTGTTTCTTACTTGATTTTCTGTAGGCGTGTTCATGAAGCCCGCTAGCTTCTGTCTGCACCGATGCTGAAATTCCTGGCAGCTCCTGCGTCGCGGTGGGTTTGACACTCCCTGACGTTTCCATTTCCCTTAATTTAAGACACAAACCCACCTATTAGTCAATACGCAATGACTTCAAAGCAGTTGCCCTTGACAATTATACTAACGAAGGAGGCTTTTCCAAATGTATTTAATTAAAAATCCGAACACTTGAGATACAGTGAGTGGGGCTTGGCCGCAGTTTGGCTGCCGTGAGCAGGCTGTCAGCA